GGGCAGCCAGGGCTCACTCACCCTCACAGAGAAGTTCTTCACAACCATGGGGATGATCCCTGCAGAATTCCAGTGCCTGCATCCCTCAACACCTGCCATGTCAGGGGCACATCCCTATCCACAGGGGAGGGTTGGGATGGATCTCAGGGAAAGGTTCTTTCCCCAGAGGGTGGTGGGCACTGCCCAGGCTCCCCAGGGCAGTGGGCACGGCCCCAAGGCTGCCAGAGCTCCAGGAGGGTTTGGACAACGCTCTGAGGGACAGGGGGGGATTGCTGGGGTGTCCTGGGCAGGGCCAGGAGCTGGACTGATGATCCGTGGGGGTCTTTTCCCACTCAGGATATTCTGTGACTCCATGACCCCAAGGCCAAAGCTCCGGGGCATGGACACCCTCCAACAGGGTCCCCTGGGACACCCTGTCAGGTGTGTCCCTGCTGGGGGGACAAACAGCAGCTCCCACACCCCCCAAAGCCCTGAGGGACCCCCAGACCCTCCCCTGCACCCCCTACCTACCGCCCCTCCCTCTCCCACCCCCTCCCCATTGGCCAGGGTGGCACCTACACCCTCCCAATTGGCTCCCTCAGCCGCCCATCAGCACTTTGGGGTATTTATTTGGGGCGACGCCCAGTGCTCCCAGTTCTGCCAGTGCCGGGAGCGGAGGAGCCGGCGAGGTTGGGCTGAGCCAGGTAAGGCTGGGCTGGAGAAGAAGGGGGGCAGGTGGGGGCTGCATTGGGGTTGTCACTTGTTTTGGGGCTGGGAGTGGGAGGGCGGGACTCCCCAAAGCCGCCTCTGCTCTCGCAGGGGTTCTGCAGCCCCCTTTCTCGGGGGGCTCTTTGCAACCCTCGCTGGGTTGGAGGCTGGGATGGATTTGTCTCCATCCCTCCAGCCCGGAGGTGCTCGGGGGCTGCGTGTGCCCACGGAGGCTTTTCCAGCTCGCTGGGAAATCCACGGAGCCGGGTGCTGTGTCCCTGCTGCTTTCTGGGGATGGGGGAGTGTCTTGGCTTTTTGAGGCCAAAGGTGATGTTCCAGGGTGTCGTGATGTGTCTGTGTGCCTTGGGGACGGGCTGGAAGGCTTGGGGGTTGGGATGAGATGATCTTTAAGGTCCTTTCCAACCCAAACCGTTCTGGGACTCAAATCCTTCCCTGACTGCTCCTTCCTGAGCTCTGAGATGGCTCCCTGGCGACTCCGTGGATCTGTGATTGAGAAGTTTTGGGTTTAAAAGCTCTTTTCTGCTTGTTGTCTGCCGGGGAGGGTGGTGCACAGGAGGTGACTCCCACCCAGGGGCAGCACGTGAGGGGCATCCCCCCGGGCCGCGCTGATGGTGGGGGAAGCAGTGGGTGCTGCAGGGGCAGGTGATCAGTCGGGCATTCCCTTCCTGTGACAGCGCTGCCCGGGGCTATTTCACATGATGGTCCGGTGTAGGCACGATAATGGTGTTTGGGAAGGGGGTGGCTGAGTGACAAAGGAACCAAAGCTCTTGCTCAAGAGCCCCGTGTCCCTGCAGGGCTCCCTCAGACTGCACCAGTGTTTCTCAAGACTAGCAGGGTTTTCAGTGGGGCGGTGATTACCTGGGAGTGTGGATGGCTGGGAAGGATTTCAATTGCCGGAGCTGGTTCTGCTGAAACTTCCAGATGGGAAATGTGTTGAGCTGCTTGCTCTGCAAGTTACAGCTTCCAGCTGAAACCTCGTGGGAAAACTGGGAAGTGGGAAGTGCTGAGAAGCTGTTTGAATTAAAATCTTCCTCTCCTCTTCCTTAAAATATCTCTTTTCCAAGGAGTTACTGATCCAGTGATGGCCACTGGTTGGGGTGTTTCATTGCTGTTGGAAGGGTGTGTGGGGAGCTCTGCCTGATCTGCAGATCTGGCTTTGATCTCGGATGTTCCCCAATGCTGCTGGTTTATCTGGAAAGGTGAGAGGGGGGCACCTCTGGCAGCCACCCTCAAACTCATGTCCTGAGGCCAAGGCTGGAAACCATTTGATGCTGCTCCTAAAGGAGCCTCTGCCCTCAGGAGCATTTGCAGCCCACTCCCCACAGACATCCTGTGACCCAGTTCTGCATTTTTGGGGACTGGGGTATCAGTGGCAAATCCCGACAAGAATGCAGGTAAGTGCTTTAACCACAAATACCTCTGCCCTGATTCGCCCTCCCTGCTCAGATCTAAAGCACTAAATTTAGCTTTGTTTTCCTTAATGGTCAATAAGGAATCGGCAGTTGAGCTACTGAACCAGCCACCCTGGCTGTGGCTCTGTCTTCCCAAGGTAAAATCCCTTTGGAAGGGAGAAAAGCTTCCTAAACATGAAGGTCCTGCTGGTGCCTGCAGGACAACACACCAGCAGCCTGTTTTCATGGAGCAGAGCTGCTTTCCACAGGGAAAATAAGAACCTTGCAGCCAAGGGGAGTTAAAGAACCAGCTTTGGGTACCCTGGTCCCTGTCAGAGTGAGGAAATCAGGGAGGTGCTGATCCCAGCAGGAAAGCTCCTGGCTCTTCTGCCAGCCCAGGGTGGGATGAGCCTGACCAAGGCAGGGAAATGGAGCAGCTGGGTGGGTTTGGTGCCACTGTCCTGCTGTTTGGTGCCAGCCCTTGTTCCTTCACTGACTTCAGACCTGTGCCCAGCTGGGCAACAATCACCAGTTCAGCTCTTGATCCTGGGAAAGCACAACTGGAGAGTTTCATCGCCCTGAAACCACCATTTCAACAACTTTCTCCAGCAGTGACCTAATATTTCTGATGTAGCAACGGTATGAAATCATCTGCTCTTCACTTTCATATGAAGCAAACCACAACCAAAGCAACCAGTGATGCTGTTTCTGCTCCTCTGCCCGCTGGGACTTCCACTCACAGCAAAATCCTGCCTTGGCTGTGCCCTCTGCACCAGCTGACCCAGAGCTGCCAAGCACTGTGTTTTCCTGCAGCCTCTGAAGTGAAACACTCAGCACTCTGGCAGGGGAAAGAGAAAACAAAACCACGCTGTGGGTTCGTGGATTTGCCCACACTGCAAATCCTGGCGTTGCGACACGTGGATTTCTCCCACACAGAGAGCAAACCTTGTTCTGACACGACTGTGCTGAAGGATTATCCCTGGCAAGACTGCATCCATAATTAACATGGGATCTCTGCACTTCAGAGGTGGATTCTAACCTTCCACCAGATTTTCTATCAGCCAAGGAGCTACTCCTGACTTCCATCCTCTCCTCTCACTGCGTGTCTGTGCTGACCCTGACACCAAGACCGTGGTGTCAAACTCCACAGTTTGAGCTTTTCCCACCTGTCCAGAAGCAAAATAACTGAGCAAAGGGGGTTGTTTGTGGTGGTGGTGGTGGTGTTGAAAGAGCTGTGCTTTGCCCCTGAGCCTGCCTGCTTGGACTCAAAGAAACAACAAACTTGCCCGAAAGCAAAGCAAAGAGGAACAGCCACTGACACCAAACCCCAGACTCTGGGACTGGGATTTCACCTTCAAGCCCTGCTTTGTTGGCAGCAGTTTGCTACAAGTTCTCCCAGCCTGGTGAAGTTCAAGCTGGTTTTGCTGTGCAGTTAAATTAGCTGGGATTGCCAGGGAAGTGTTGGCTCCTGGCTTCTCACTAGAGAGGCTGGAGGTGACAACTTGTGCTGTTGTACCACCCTGCATCCCTGCCCTGCTCAAATCTCACTGATTTCTGACCAACTGAGTGGTTAATGCAGCAATATTTGATGTTTGGCCAAGTCACCTCCTGAGATGTCTCTGCCCAGTCCAGGGCTCATGATTGCTGGTTTCACTGCTTCTCCACAGCTCTCTGTTCCTGTTTCTCAATAAAATAAAAACCTTCTACGATGCAAAGAGCACAAGAAATGAGGACAATGGGCTCTGCCACGAATCAGATAGCAAGGTTTTTTTGGGATAGAGTCTACCAGGGAGCCTGGAGCAGTGCGTGGCTTGGGAATCCAGTCTGGGAGGAATTTTGGTTTGAGGGTTTCCATTGGAAAATGCCACAGCAAATCTGAGAGCAGGAATTAACTGGTAAAGCAGAGGAAAGCAGACTCTGTACTGAAGAACAAACGTGCACAAATCCCTGCTGTGCCTGACCAAGGCTGAGCAGTAATCCTGGATTTATTGCCAATGCTGGAGTGTCCAGATACCAACCGAGGTCTGTGCTGGGGAAGCCAACACACATTTAAATGATTGCATCATTTGACACTTCTTTAATCCCATTATGTCAGGAGAATGCTGCTGAGCCTTGGTTTCACAGGAAGTGAGGGCAGATTTCCTGCTGAACTGGGAGGAGGGGAAGGCAAGATTCAAGCTGGAATGCTGCAGCTGGGAAAACTCCACATGTCCATCCCATGAGCCTGCCAGTGGTGTTGGAGTGGGCAGTGCTGGAGAAGCTGACAAGTTCCTCACTATGAACACAGGCAAAGGGGGGTGACTCCAAAGTAACTCCTCTGAATATCCATTGCAGAGGATACCCCAGAGGAGAGGGACTATAAACAACCCTTATTCCCTGTCCCCCTGCACTGCTGGGTGGCAGGAGGCAGAGAACTCAGGAGTAAAGCTGGGCCTGGGAAGCAGGGAGGTGTGGGAGGAAGTGGTTTTAAGATCTGAATTTATTCCTCATTATCCTACTCTGCTTTGATTGGTAACAAATGAATTTCTCCCAAGTTCTGCCCATGACAATAATTGGTGAGTGGTCCCTCCCTGTCCTTATGTCCACCCATGTTATATTTGTATATATATGACAAATATATATGTTATATCTCTACCTTTTGTTATGTTTTCTCTCCCCTGCCCAGCTGAGGAGGGCAGTGATGGAGTGGTTTTGGTGGGTGTCTGGTGTCCAGCCATGGTCATCCCACCACCCAGAGAAAACACAAGCCAGATAAGACAGTTCTCACCTATTTCCAACCTGCAGCTTTCAGCCAGTTGCCCTCTGCTTTTCACCTGTTTTAGTGGGGCTTTATTTCCCTGCAGGAGATGAAGTTGTGCTGTTAAACCCTTGTCTTTCCTTTCAGCTGCAGCTGAATTCAGGATGGCCTCAGGAAAGACCCCCAAACCAGACCTGCTGAAGGCTGAGGAGCAGCAGCAAGCGGTAGGTGCCAGGGCAACACTAAACAACACTCTGGAAAACTTCTACCAGCCCCCCCCAAAACCAGGCTGGGGGGCACAGAAAGATAAACCACGTGAAGCTGTGGCCAAACCGAAACTCCCTTAACGCAGGAGGCAACTGTTTGGCTCAAGAGAACTTCTGGACTGGCTCAAGTGATGCAAGTAATTCTGAAACATGAGCTTACAGGTCCTACTTCCACATCTGCTTTGGTGCTGAAACCAGTGTGACTCAGAGTCCACGAGCCCAGAGCTTAAACTGTTAACCTTGTTTTGTCACTGGCTCGGTAGAGGCCTTGGGATGAGTCTTCCCAGCCCTGAGTTTAAGAAGGATTAGGACATGGATTTGCTGTGCCCTTGGGACCTTCCTGGGCAGACTCATGGCTGTGTGCACCCCCAGCTCCAGGCTGGGCTCTGATGTCACTGTTTCTCCTGGGTTTCAGAGCGCTGTCAACCGAGTGACCAGCTTGCCCTTGCTCAACTCTGCCTTCAACCTGGTCTCCTCTGCCTACAACTACACCAAGGAGTCCCACCCTTGCCTCAGTGGTGTCTGCAACGTGGCTGAGACGGTGGCAGCCGTGGCAGTGGGCAGCGTGGTTGGAGGGGCACAGCCCATCCTGAACCAGCTGGAGCCACAGAGTGAGTGGAGGGGCTGGAGAGACCCTTGGAACTGAGGAGTAGGTGGGGAGGGGACTTTGATGTGTGCCTGGTGGGTCATACTCAGCTCCTACAGCACCCTGGCCTAGTTCATTCTAGCACTGTTATCTCCCACTCAGCTCCTGGACACAGAATTTCCTGGACACAAAAGTGTTACTGGTGGAAACAATTTGGTTTCTTTAAGATACAAAGTAGAAACTGCCTTTTTTTTTCCTCCACCACTCCCAAGTTCTGAACACCCCAGCTGGTAGGAGCAGTGTCCACCTTGGATGTAGCTCAGGCTGGTTCATTCCCAGATGCTTTTAAACCCTTTAAACCTATTCAAAAGCAAGTGCTACACTCCAGCTGGAGGAAATTCTACAGCTAGAAAGCTGGGAAGGCAAAGTGGAGACTATCTGAACCTGACAAATTGTAGGGTTTGTTCAGTATTTAACAAGAAAACCACACACATCCCACCCTAGAATGGGGATTTATATATTTTGACCTTGCTTTCATGAACTGGACATTCTGAACTGGCCATTTTAGGGTCAAAAATCCCTCCCCAAACTGAAGGATAAAGTGGTACCTCTGGTTGTCTCTTCCAGTTGCACTTGTGAATGACTATGCCTGTAAAGGACTGGATCAGCTGGAGGAGAACTTGCCCTTCCTTCAGCAGCCAGCAGACAAGGTAGAGAAAAGGCTTTTCCTGGGGAAGCCGTGGCTTGGTGGGACTGTTTTGGGTGCAGAAGAATATGGGGAAATAAACTCCAGCAGGGCTGTGTCAGGCCAGGCCCTGGAAGGGGTTAGAGGAGGCACTGCCATTCCTTTTTTTATCCCCTAAAATATCTTTCTCTGCCTCTCCCTGCCCTAGGTGCTGTCGGACACCAAGCAGCTGGTTTCCACCAAGGTGACATCTGCCATGGACGCCGCCTGTGAGGCCAGAGAAGCCGTGGCTGAGAAGGTCACTGAGGCTGTGGATCTCACCAAAAACATGGTTGGGGACAGTGTCAAGCTGACCAGGTCAGTGGTCACCTCCACTGTTAACAGTGCTGTGGAGGCTGCCCAGGGAGCCAAGGAGCTGGTGACCACCAAGGTGACAGAGGCTGTGGATGTCACCAAGCACCTGGTGGAGGACAGTGTGGACAGGACCAAGTCTGCTGTTGCTTCCACCATTGTCAATGCTGTGGAGGCTGCCCAGGGAGCCAAGGAGCTGGTGACCAGCAAGGTGACAGAGGCCGTGGAGGACACCAAGTCTGCAGTTGCTTCCACCATCAGTGCAGCTGTAGGGGCTGCCCAAGGAGCCAAGGATGTGGTGACCACCAAGGTGACAGAAGCTGTAGATGTCACCAAGCACATGGTGGAGGACAGTGTGGACAGGACCAAGTCTGCTGTGGCTTCCACCATTGTCAACGCTGTGGAGGCTGCTCAAGGTGCCAAAGACCTTGTGACCAACAAGGTGACAGAAGCTGTGGAGGACACCAAGTCTGCAGTTGCTTCCACCATCAGTGCAGCTGTAGGGGCTGCCCAGGGAGCCAAGGACATGGTGACCACCAAGGTGACTGAGGCAGTGGATGCCACTAAACATGTGGTGGAGGACAGCGTGGACAGGACCAAGTCTGCAGTTGCTTCCACCATTGTCAGTGCCGTGGAGGCTGCCCAGGGAGCCAAGGAGCTGGTGACAGACAAGGTGACCAAAGCAGTGGACCTCAGCAAGCACATTGTAGAAGACAGCGTTGACATGACCAAGTCTGCAGTTGCTTCCACGATTGTCAACGCTGTGGAGGCTGCCCAGGGAGCCAAGGACCTGGTGGCCAGCAAGGTGACCGAGGCCGTGGATGTCACCAAGCACATGGTGGAGGACAGTGTGGACAGGACCAAGTCTGCTGTTGCTTCCACCATCAGTGCAGCTGTAGGGGCTGCCCAAGGTGCCAAGGACCTGGTGACCCACAAGGTGACCGAGGCAGTGGACCTGACCAAAGGGGCTGTCCAAGACAGTGTTGAGAAGACCAAATCCGTGGTCACCTCCACAGTCAGTACAGCCCTGGATGCTGCCTATGGCACCATCTCGAGCAAGATAAGCACAGGTGTGGAGATGACCAACTCAGTGGTGACCAACAGTATCAGCAAGGCCAAGGCAGTGAGCCAGGCAGTGGCTGGGGGTGTGGAATCTGTCCTGGAGATGTCAGAAGATCTGGTGGATCACTTCCTCCCGATGACAGAGGAGGAACTAGGTAAAAAACTACTTCCCTGGCGGCTCTAAATGCAAATCCTTCCCCCACGTGACTAGAGAGCACCTGACCCAGCAAGACTCAGCTTCTGAAGCAGACAGGTAGCTCTGAATTTGCCAACACCCAATTGCCACGTGGTATGGGACAGAGTTCAAGCATTTATTGGTCCTTGGCCATCAGCCTCAAGGTAAATAAACACGTGGGTTCACACTTCAACCTCTCCATCGAGTCTGCGTATCTGAAAAGAACGTGCTGAGCAGGGACTGCCTTTTAACACCTGAGCAACCACAAACCTCTCCTGTTCCCACAGCAACCTTCCTGTTCTCCCAGGGGTTAATCTGACCTCTCCCCCTCCTCCCAGCTGGGGGAGGGAAGCCTGGCTGCATCTCTGTTCTTGTCTCCTCCAGGTAAACTGGCCACCACCGTGGAGGGGTCTGGGATGGTTTCCGTGGAGGAGCAGAAGGAGCAGCGCAGTTACTTTGTGCGCCTGGGCTCCCTGTCCAGCAGAGCCCGGCTCAGAGCCTACCAGCACTCCCTGCACAAGCTGCAGTGCGTCCGCCAGAGCACCCAGGACACCCTCTCACGACTGCAGATGGCAATCAAACTGGTACAGGCATGCTTTCCCCCCCTCCCTTTCCTCCTGTCTGTCGCCTTCCTGCCCTGCTAGCCAGCTGGAAGCTCCTCCTCCACCCTGCACCTGCACCAGTGTCACCTTGGATCCCTCCCTGGCAGGGAAGCCCTCCTGCTTCTCTGTGTGTGCTTGCAATGCAGCTGCTCCTCTGGTTTCTCCCATCAGATTGAGTCTGTGAAGCAGGGCTTTGGCCAGAAGCTGCTGGAAGGGCAGGAGAAGCTCCATCAGCTGTGGGTGAACTGGTGCCTGACCCAACCCAAAGGAAACCAAGTTCAAACTGCCTGCCAGCCAGAGGTATCCCTGCAAGGTGTATTTGGCCAGGCCTCAGGTGGCTGGTGGCCATCCCACCTGCTCTGGTAACTGAGCTGTCTCTCTCCCAGCAGGTAGAGTCCCACACTCTAACTATGCTGAGGATCATCACCCAGCAGCTACAGCCTGTCTATGAGAACCTGAAAACCAGCATCCAAGGCCTCCCCAGCAACATCCAAGAGGCTGTGTATCAGGCCACTCGAAATATCCACAAGCTCCACAGCTCTTTTTCCAGTGCCATGTCCTTCCAGGACCTCTCCAGCATCACCCTGATGCAGAGCCAGGACTGTGTGACAGAAGCCCGGAGGTCCCTCGATGTCCTGTTCGAGTATGTCACTCACAACATCCCCCTGAACTGGCTCGTGGGGCCCTTCAGGGCCATAGCTGAGGTGGCACAGGGCAGCAGAAAGCAGAAGAAGAGAGAGATGGTGACTGAAAGAAAGTTACCCATGTTGGAAAAGGCTCCACCATCACAGGAGGCGACTGAGACACCCAGAGAGCCCAAGGGAACCAACAGGATCCCAGGGGAAGCGTGGTATGCAGTGCTGGATAAGCTGAAGGAGGAGGCAGAGAAGCAGGAGAAGGAGGCAGGAAAGGTGAAGGAGGCAGAGAAGCTGGAGGAGGAGGCAGGGAAGGTGAAAGAGGAGGTAGGGAAGGCAAAGGAGGCAGAAAAACTGGAGAAGGAAGCAGAGAAGGTGGTGGAGGAGGAGGCAGAAAAGCTGGAGAAGGAAGTAGAGAAGGTGGTAGAAGAGGAGGCAGGAAAGGTGAAGAAGACAGAGAAGCTGGAGGGGAAGGCAGGAAAGATGAAGAAGGCAGAGAAGCAGGAGGGGAAGGCAGAAAAGCTGGAAGGAAAGGCAGGGAAAGTGAAGAAGGCAGAAAAGCTGGAAGGAAAGGCAGGGAAAGTGAAGAAGGCAGGGAAGCTGGAGGAGGAGGCAGAGAAAGACACAGAGGTGGCACTGGCTACAAAGGAGATCAAAACTAGTGCACCAGAGGAAGGTCTCTGATAAATCCCAGCTCTTCTGGCCAAGGCTCCCTGGTTAGAACTGCACTTGATGTTTTAGTCGTGTGCCCTGTTGTGCCACAAGTGCCTCCTGCTCTGAGTTTACAGTCAGATGCAGTTGTAAGGACATTTGACAACCGAGGGGGGGGGGTGGTTGTGTATCTTGATTTACTATTTTTAAATCCCTGCTGTGCTGAAAGGGAAGATGGGGACCTGCACTTCAGCTCTTTGTCAGCCCAGCTGCTCGCGCGAGCGGCTTATTCTTGCTCAGACACGTCGTGGCAGAGAAGAAGTTGTCTCAACTTTTATTTTTAAAATGTAGGGTTTGCTTTTAATGCCACCCAAGCCGTGGAAAACTTGAGGAGATGCTGAGCTCGACTTTTGTGACACCGTTTCCCGCCTTCTCCGGGTTCAAAAATGCCCGGCACGGACACGACTTCCTTTGTGCCTCTTGTGCTTCCGGGGAGGCTGGGCCCGGATGCGGCACATCTGGCACAGCTGGAGCGAGAAGCTGCTCCTCAGGAAGAGATTTCTCTTCGTGGATCAGCCAGATACTTCTTCCTTCATGGAGGAACACTCAGCAGGGTGGGGTTTTCTTTAATCACCACGGGGTTTTTAGGGGCTTATCTTTCCTAGTTCTGCGACTGACTCCAGGGATCATTCAGGCCTGAAACACTTCACAGCCACTAAACTGGCAAACAAGGCAGCTTTTCCCAGGATTTACTCTGCCTGCCATGGGATTAGCATATCCTGCTATTAAAATGGGGGGAGGAGGGGGGGGGGGGAAGGTGCTGGTTCTTTCCCAGCCAACAAGGCTTTGTAACAACTTCTAATGTAATTTATTTTGTTAACTCGTGTTCTGTCGTGGCCCCTGTGCTGGGTGGGCTGAGCAGACATCAGAATAAAGTGTGACCTGCGTTCAGAGACGTGTGGGTTTGTGTGAACCTAAAGCTGCAGTGTCGAGTTCTCCCCTTACCTGAGCTGCTTCAAAGCTTGCATTTACCAGATCTCTTCTCTGGCCAGGCTTGGTCCTGCTGGAGGGGGAAAAAACAAAGTGCTTTTAGCAGGTCCTGTGCTTTCTGAAGCAGAAGAATATCTTTTGTCCCCAAGACTTCTGCCTGAGGCTCAGGTGCTTCTGTTCATGTCCCATTCCTGTCTCCCCCTCACCCCTCTGGATCCTGGGCTGTCCAGCCTCACTCATCCCACTTCCAACACTTCCTAGAGGCTGTGCCCCCACTGCTCTGAAACCCCCCCCCAAAAAAACTGCCTTCTTATTGTGTGTTTGCTACCAGTGTTTCTCCATTAGACTCGCAGCTTCAAGTTTATTTTTTGCCCTAAATTCACATTTCTTAGTGTTTGATCAGCATCCTCCACCACAATTAAAGTGTTAGGAAATGTACCCAAACCCAGGAATGACAACTGGCTTAGATGTTTTCAAGCTCCCTTATTCATTATCACCTTGAATCTATCAAGCTACTGACCGAGGATTTTATTTAAGTACTCAAAACATCTTAAGAGGGGCTCATAATTTGCCTCTTTTTTTGTTTTAATAAATCTTTTGGTGTCACATCCACGTGTTCGGGGGGGGACACTGGACAGGGCTGCTCTAGTCAAGGGGAGGTGGCGGCTCAGGGGGGCTCAGATGCTCCTGTTGAAGTCCCCAGGCCCTGGAGGAGCTGTCCCCTGTCCCGCTTTCCCCGGTCCCGCCCCGCTCCGCCCCGGCCGTGCCCATCGTACCGCTTCCGCTTGCCCCGGGCACCGGCACTGACCGCAGGTAGGCTGATCCCTTCCCTTCCCGGCTCATCCCTTCCCTTCCCGGCTCATCCCATCCCTCCCCGGCTCATCCCACCCCTCCCCGGCTCCCGCGGGGATCGGACCCGAGCGCTGCCCCCGCCTCGCCCGCTCCAACTTCCGCGCTCGTTGGGCAATCGGAGGATTTTTATGAGAGCGGAAACGAGCAGATTGAAAGCAGAAAGTTTCCACGGTCGAGAGGCACTCGGGGGCACTTGCTGGGGCTGCCTTTAAATAGGGAAAGTTCCCGTGGCAGTGCTCAGGCAGCGCCTGGAGCGGTGTCCCACCGGGAATCCGCTCCTCTGCTCCGGACACTCCTGCTGTTTAATTAAACCCCTGTCAGAGGCCTTGGGTGAGTGCGGGGGCTCAGGGACCAGCTGAGGATGGGGATACAATGTCCCCAGTCCCAGCTCTGGGACCCCAACATCAGAAGGATGAGAAACTTCTGGAGTCAGTCCAGAGGAGACGACGGAGATGCTCCAAGGGCTGGAGCCCCTCTGCTCTGGAGCCAGGCTGGGACAGCTGGGGGTGTCCACCTGGAGAAGAGAAGGATCCAGGGGGCTTCAAGAGAGCTGGAGGGAGACTTTGGACAAGGGACAGGAAGGACAGAACACAGGGAATGGCTTCCCAGTCCCAGAGGGCAGGGTTCGATGGGATATTGGGAAGGAATTCCTCCCATTGAAGGTGGAGAGGCCCTGGAACAGCTTGGGCAGAGCAGCTGTGGCTGCCCCATCCCTGGAAGTGTCCAAAGTCTGTTTGGACAGGGCTTGGAGCAACCTGGGCTAGTGGAAGATGTCCCTGCCCATGGCAGGGGGTGGAACTGGATGATCTTAAAGGTCCCTCCAAGCCCAAACCATTCCCTGACCAGCAGCCTGACAGGGGATGCACACGGGTTATCAGTTGGAAAGGGTTTCCTCCAAGCCTGTTTTATTCCTCAACTGCCAGCACAAGAAGGCCTCTGGAACCCCCTGCCCGGAGGAGACAGACACTCACATTTACCTAAACACATCATTATTTCAGCAATCATTTAAACCCAGTTATCACTACTGTGAAATGAGTGTAAGGAACGTGCCCTTTGCTGATCACAGGGTTGGGATAACGCACGGAGCACCGGCAGAGCTGCAAGCACAGAACAGAGGCAAAAATACTTGAGAGCTGTGAGGGAGCGTCTGGGAGCTCCACGAGCTCTGGGAGCATCCCCTCAGCTACCCACATCACCCTCTCTGAACTGTCCTCTGTTCTCCTCACAGGTTCCCCAGGACAGAGATATCCCAGTTGCCAAGACGAGCCCTGGGCACAAAGAGCTTGTGTGGTACGAGAAGAGCGACCGGGACACCCCCGAGCCCCACACGGGAACGAACCTTTGCCATAAGATGATTTTTCCATCCCTGCTGCTTCACTCCATGGTCTGGGCCAGCAGCTGCTGAGATGGCACAGAGCACCGAGCTCCAGCCAAGCTTTGAGGACGTGTTTAATATTCTATCCCAGGTCCCACAAGACAAACTCCTGAGCCTCAAACTCAAACTGAGGCACCTGATACCCGGGCCCAGCAGCAAGTTGCTGCAAGCCATGGTCCTGCTTACCCTGGGGCAAGACATGGATGCAAGGATTTGTTTGGATGCCTTGAGGGATAACCCAGCAGCCCAGTATGTCCAGCAGACCAAGCTGGGTGCTGCAGGAACGCAGGAGGATGGGGAGGATGCACAGCCTCCTCAGCTGGATGCAGGTGCCGTGGCACTGCTGGCACAGGTGTACAAAGTGTTGGCACAGGAGAAGCTGTGCAGTCCTGAGGCCCGGGACAAGGCCTGCCAGGCTGCCACCAAAGCCTGCCAGGACACTCAGAGGGGGATGCTCAACAACATCCCACCTGAGGAGCAGGACAAACAGGGCTTTGCTACCAGCATGGGCCCCAGTGACAGATTTCAGACGCTGAGATCCGATGAGGACACGGGATTTCTCCAGAGGGGCAGCTCCAGCTACGTGCTGAGAAGTTCTCCAGTGCAGATCGGAGGCAACTCCGAGCTCTCAGCCCCACGGACCTTGTGCTCCACGGGGAGCTCCTCTCTCTCCAGCTGTTTGGAGGTCAGTGCATCGCCAACGCTGGTTTTCCACAGCCCTCCCTCTCCCCCCGAGGGTGTCCCCCAGCCCAGTGGTGCTGGACACCCCGATGGGGGCACACAGAGCCCCCAGGAATCCAGCTGGCCCAGCAGCCCCAGCTCCCATCCCAGCCAGGACACAGGTGCCCAAGTGCCCCAGCCAGAGGAGGGTCTGCAGGGCAGTTCCTGCCACCCAGAGCTCCCTGTTCCCTCAGAGGGGGCTGTGATCCAGCCTGCCCAAAGCAGTGACATTCCCAGCACAGTGACAGAACCTCCTGCTCCAAGAGAAAACACGGATGAAAAGCAGGAAGAAAAGCAACTACCTACTGGTCTTCCTGACCCAGGAGCTGCAGTGGGCACTGATATGCCAGCAGGCATTCCTTGTAACTCTACACCTGCTTCTACTTCAACCTGTTCCTTTCCTCCTCCTCCTCCCACCGGTTCCTTCTCCTCAACCCTTCCTCCTCCTCTTCAGGAACCTCCTTCCAACTTCAATCCCCCTCCCCTGCACTCATCCCTCTCTCCAGCCTGGCCTCCTCCTCCTCCTCTCCCAGCTGTGGACCCAGTGTCCCTGTCAGAGCCAGATGGTGGCAAGTTCTTCACGTTTGTTGTCCTGCATGCCAGTGAGGATGAGGCTGTTGCCCAACAGGTCAAGAAGCTGCTGGAGAGCATGGGGGTGTCCAACGGGGCCACGCTCTGCGAGGATTTCTCCGTCGCCGGCCGCAGCCACATGGCAGGCTTCCTGGAGGCGATGGAAAACTCCGCCTTCATGATCCTCCTGCTGACCAAGAACTTCACATGCAACCTGTGTCTGTTCCAGACAGACACTGCTCTGATGCAGTCCATCCAGGACCCGTCCAAGCACTACTCAGTCATCCCGTTTTTACCCAAGGTGAACGCCCTGGAGCAGAGTCAGATCCCCAGGATGCTCAGCGCGCTGGTGACCCTGAACGAGAGCTCCCCTCTGTTCCCCAAGGTGGTGCACAACACTTTTAACCCCAAGAAGATCAGTCAGAAGAAAGCCATGTGGGAGCAGATGCAGAGAAGGAAACTCCAGCTGCGCTGGGAAGGGCAGCAGGCCCAGCAGAACTTGGCTGCCCTGAGCCTTGGCCCCCCTTCCCAGGTGCCTCCAGCAGCGACACGGCCGTGGCCACCAGAGCCATCCCCCCAAGAGTGGTGTCCCCACACCCCCACGGTCCCTCTCTCTGCTGGGCACCCCACACCTGCTCAGACAGGTCCCCCCAGTTCCCAACCACTGCTCCCACCAGGCCACTACACCATCACGCCGGGCCCAGGAGGGATCGTCATCCAGCACGCGCGGATGGTCCAGATTGGGAACCACAACACCATGCAGGTGGAAACTGTCCCCCCCGGGCCACAGGGCAGCGAGGGACAAACCAGGCACCACGTCTGATCGGGGTCAGCCAAGGTCAGAGGCAAAACTCATTTCAAATCCTAGATTACAGTGATTCTGCTGGGACTGGGACTAATCTCATTTCTCTGTGGGTCAAGGGTGCCTCTTTCCTGAAGCACAGAAGAAAATTCCTGATTTTATGTTGGACTGTTTTCCTTGTGATTATTCTCACATAACTGAGAAAACTATTTTGCTGATTTTCTGGGGCTACTTGAAGATTTTATAAATAAATTTTAATGAATTTATTTGTGTTTCTCTGGTTCTTTCCTGTGGAATTAGAAAAGGGGCAGTCAGGGATACATGAAAAACTGTTCTGCATGTGGGGTGGAAAGGGCTGGGAGATGGCACCGAGCAAATCACTGGAGGGACAATCTTCAGGGGGTGCTCTGGGGAGTCACTGTGCCCTCCTGCCGAGGTGCTGAGCACCACAGGGTCCCACTGTTTTCTTCCAGCAGAGCAAAGCCCCAGATCCCTCCCTCTTCCTCCAACCTGCCAGGCACAGCCATTTTCCTGATCGTCAGCAGAGGTCACCCCAAAGCCACCCAGTGACTGGGAATGGGGCTGTTCCTGGGTGGAGCAGAGCCCTGAACCAGCTCACCCTGTGCCGGGAGCAGGGCAGGGCTCACCCCACTCCTCACCCCACTCCTCCCACCCAATTCCTGCCCCTCGGAGGAGCTGAGGAGCCACATCCCTGTTAAAGTGGATCCCAAGGGCCACTCTGGTCCACAGAGGGAGGTGCCCCCAGTCCAGGAGCTCCTGCAGGGGGGTGTGTGCTCCTGTCACTCCGTGTCTGTCCCAGCAGGTTCCAAACCCAGAGTAGCTCAGGACTCCAACAAACCATCCTGGACCTGGGACTGCCCAAGCTGGGCCCTCACAGGGCCTAATTCTGGACTGTGCTCCTTGTCCAGGAACCATTCAAGCCTCACACCCACCCCTGTATGAGACACATCAGTAAGTCCTCAGAGAAGACTCTGCAGGACCCAGTGACAATGGCTTAACTCATTTACTCTTTCCAGAGCCTGCTGGAATCCTCCAAGTGCTCAAATTCCTTTTATGTCCCCATTTTCTGTTAAATAGGTGCTGTGTTAATGCAATTCCTGCCTCCCTGCAGTTGGTGCAGGACAGTTCCTCCCCTCGGGAGAACACACACATCCCTCCTTCCCCAGCTCCTCTCCTGCTATAAATAAACATCACAAGGAATGAGGCAACTGGAAGCTGCTCCAGCTTGTAAACAACCTCAGCACAGCCACATCCAGCCTGCCTGGATCACAGAATGGGAGAGGGGAGAATGTGTGGGGTACAGCAGGGTCTGCAGCCACCCCAGAGGAACAAAACTCTTCTCTGTCCAACATAATTAACAAAGCAATCACTGAAACACTGCCCTGCTCCCCACAACTCTTGTGTTTTGCCCCACATGGCTCAGACAACACCTACAATAGATGAGGCCTGTTCAGTGTAATCACCCCTAAATCATGCAGTGAGTTCTCCCACCCTGTAATTACTATCAACCTTTAATTGCTGGGCCCTCTGTGCAATTACACATTATTTATGTGTTAAAAATAATAATAAAAAAATAAAAATCAAAGCCTTTTCTATCACACGAAATATTCTTCTTCTTGGGGGCTGCTGTACCTGACTGGACCCCCTGGCTCCCTGACCACACCATCCCAGCTCCAGTGTGGCTTCTGCATGGAATAACTCCAGGTGTGTAAGGCAGGTAAATACCTGAGTCAACACAGATCCCTTCACACTGTTTCATTGACCTCAAAACACAAGGCAAAATACACAAGCAGAGGTGTGATTTCAGTGTCAGTGTTATCCTCTTCCAGGGACACTTTGCCACTGCAGCACAGATTAGTTTTTTTCCCAGGAGTAACAACGAATCCATCACACCTGTTGATTGCAAACACCCCGTATTTCCACACCCACACTGTCCCATCCCTGGGGGACAAGCTGGAAGGAGAGGCTTACCAGGAAGAAGTCCAAGGCACTTGCATTCTAGCAGCCATTTTTTGTTTTATTATTTAAAGTTAAGAGCGCTCATCAGCTCACAAAGGAACAAATCCCATTCCTGCAGTTTAGGTCAGGTTTCAGCCAAAAGGAAAAATAAAACAAAATAAAACAAAACAAAAGAAAACAAACAAAAAAAAAAACAACAAAAATAGAAGGCAGCTAAACTAACTCTGCACTTTACAGCTCAATTCAAGTTAAACCTCCTTGCTTCATAAATAAATGTTAAAGTTAACACTGCAAAAATGTAATGGCAGATCTACAATATCTTTAAGGGGCAGAGAGCGTTGGTTATTGAGGCTGATAAATACAAGTAGAGAAGCTTCAGTAGCACATCGAGCACAGGTGGTGCCAGGGGTCTGCTCTCCCAAAAGTGGGACCCTTCCCAAAGCTCCAAGGCAGCTGCTTCCCCCCCTCCCACCCCCTCAAACTGTGCTTCCCACCCTGCTCAGGGCCAAGAAATGAGCCACAGGCTGCCCAAGCCCTGTCACCCCCCTGCACAAGGATAAACTGCTGGAAACCGTTTCTTTTCCACCACAGAGGGTTCTGCTCATGGAGGCAAAAACCTGCCCTAAGCCTTAAAAAAACCAAGGTGCGTGCAGATCCTAATTAAAGGAAGGAGCTTGTCCAAACAGCAGCCAGGTGAGATTTCAAACTCCACCTTTGAAGTAGCACCATCCTCAGAAAAGTTGAGAGAAAAAAGAAAAGGAAAAAAAAAAAGAAAAAAAGAATCGAAAGCCCAAACTGCTTGCTCAGAACCCACTGCACGGAGGTTTAATTAATGGGATAATTAACACAGCCCATGGAGGTGACACTAAAACCTCCCAAGGACAAGGAGGTACCTTAAACTTCCATGTTTCATCTTCCATCAGCCCACGCTGGTGCAAACACGGCACAAACACTCACCTGCTTAAATAACTCCCCCAAACACCCCCAGACACTGCAGGTACCTCCTGTCCTACAGGGCTTGCAAGAGCTCAGCCTCAAAAATGGTTCAGACTGTGCTGCTTTGGCTCCAAAACGTGGCCACATCCACCCTCACAGCTCGATCCCTGCTGACCTCTGGAGCTAAAGCACCTCCACGCTGGGAATGGAGCACACAGGCGTGCAGTGGGCAAGCCAAGGGCCCCAACATCACGTTTTCCAACTTGGGTTAATTAAAGCAGCTTTTCCTCCCCGTTCGTAAACCCCGACATCTACGGGTGAAACTGCATAACCAGGACTGACCTTCCTCTATCTTACAGGGCTGGAGAAGTCTTGCAGCACAGATAGGGCCTGGCTCTACGAGAGAAGAAACATCCCAGCTTTGTGCACAATCGTGGAAATCTCAGGCCTTAAACACCGTTTGGCCGACCGAGAGAGAGAGAAAAAAAAACCCGTCCTCAGCACACCCAGCCCTGTGCCATGCAAGGAACTCCCTCAGCAGAGCACGAGCCCCTCAGCAGCTGGACTTGTGCTGTCCCAAATGTGACAAGAGGGAGGGGAAAGGATTAGTTGGAAGGCATTTTATTCCTCACTCGCTTTCTGCGTGTTGGATGTGTGGGCTGGGGAGGGTCAGAGCACGTGGGGGGGTGTGTAGCTGCTCCAAAGCTGAACACTGAGTTAATCCAGCACTAACGGGAGAGGCAGCAAGTCCCAGGGAATCTCCGTTCTCCTTCCTTCTCAGGACAAGACGGGAAAGGGCAGGGGCTGTGGCCTTCTGTGGACACAGTGCACTGGAGAGAGCTGGTACCTGAAGGTGACAACAACGAGGGACAGCCGGGAGCTCTCGAGCCTCCTCCTCCCTGCCCTGCCTTGCCAGCTTTGTGGTGGCAAGATGGGGACAAAGCTCAGCACCCGGCCGAGGACAGCCCGAGACCTCCAGCTGCACAACCTCCACGGGGTGGGACAGGCGAGGGAAAGGCTGGGGGACACCAACTCTCGTGCCCTAGTGCAGCTCAATGAAGGCTTCCAGCTCCTCGGGGATGAACCCCTTGTAGGGAATCTTGTGCTTGTCCAGGGCTCGAGCAGCAAGGCACTGGAGGGTGATGTAGTTGAAGGGCTGCATCGTGCTCTTGGTGAGCAGCTTCTCGTCCAGCAGCTCGTAGGCCGTCTGCTTGAAGGCGTTGGTGGCATCCATGTGCGCCCCGGCCTCCATCAGGGCCCTCATGATGAGCGGGCAGTTGTTGCGGGCGGCCACGTGCAGGGGGGTGTTGTTGTCGTAGTCGCGGCTGTCCGGGTCGGCCCCGCACTCCAGGAGCAGGTTGACCACGTGCAGCGACGGGAACTTGCCCACGGGGTAGCGCCCCACCGTCGTGGTGTCCTTGTCCACGGCCATGTGCAGGAGGGTGAAGCCGTTCTTGGCCCGGGGGCTGCACTTGAGCAGGCGGTAGATGGTCTGGCGCTTCTGGTGCTCCTGCTCCGGGGTGCACTCCACCTTCTCCAGCAGGAACACCAGGTGCAGGATGATGGCCAACGTCTTGGTGAACTGCACCGAGTCAGCCACGGGGTCCTTGCCGTGCACCAGGGCCCTCTCCACCTCCCGCACCCCTTTGCTCAGCACCCCGATGAGGTCGGAGAAGCCCAGGTGGGTGGCTAAAGTGCCTTTGGAGCGGTCCTGGAGCACGTAGGAGTAAAGCTCGGCGAAGGAAAGGAAGCTGCTGGCAGTCATGGGGCTGAGAGGCTCCAGGTTGCCTTGCTGCATGTCCAGGGCGTACTTCCACAGGTTGATGCAGCGCTCGAAGTTGCCGGAGTCGGCGTAGACGGCGCCGCGGTAGCGGATGTAGTAGGAGGTGTCGGGGTGGGAAGGGCCCAGGATGCGCTCCCGGATCAGCAGCGCCTGCATCCGCATCTCGTCGGGATCCGTGATCAGGGCCTCCAGTTCCTCCAGAGAATTCACCTCCCGGGAATAGTCATAGGCCAGCACCAGCTGCCGGGGCTCGGGTTTGGGCAGGTACTTCCCGCCCTCACAGCGCAGCTCCATCGCCCTCCGCCAGTACTTGTGGGCCCCCAGGAGGTCGCGTTTCTTGTCCACAAAGGTGGCACCCAGCAGCTCCAGCGCTTCCACAGCCGCCTCGCGAGTGCAGAACACGGTCGGGACCTCGTCCTGGCTGGAGGCTGAGGCGCCGCATCCCTCGCCCCCCTCTTCCTGGCAGCCCCGAGTCTCCTTGCCGGCGCCGCAGCCCCTCTGATGGCTCCCACCCGAGGCGCAGGTCCCGCTGGGGCTCCCCGCGGCCTCCTCCTGCTGCAGCCCCCCCTGGATGAGGTACTCCACGATGTTGGTGTGGCCGGTGACGCTGGCGGCGAGCAGGGGGGTCATTCCGTAGCCGTCCTTCTCCATGCGGGCTTTGGAGCGGAGCAGGAGCTGCAGGATCTCCAGGCTGCCGGACTCGGCGCAGTCGTGCAGGGCCGTGTTCCCCTTCACGCTGCGCCGGTTCACGTCGGCCCCTTTCTCCAGCAAGTAGCGGGCGATCTCCCGGTGCCCTTTGTAGCACGAAATCATCAAGCACGTGTGTCCGTGCCGGTTGGCCACCTCCAGGTCGGCCCCGCGCTCGCCTACCAGGTACCGCACGATCTCCAGGTGCCCATCGAAGCAGGCGGCCCGCAGCGGGGTGGAGTTGGTCAGCGTGGTCTGGTTCACCGAGGCCCCGTGGTCCAGGAGGCTCCGCACCACCCCCAGGTGCCCGGCGGCCGAGGCCGCCCACAGCGGCGGGGCCCCCTCGATGGTCTCGCCGTCGAAGCTGACGGAGCCGCCCTCCTCCACCCGAGCCCCGCAGTGATCCAGCAGGTACTCCACCACCTCCAGGTGCCCGTGCCGCGCCGCGATCAGCAGCGGGGTGCTGCCCGCCCCGGGCCCGCCGCCGCCGCCGGGCCCCGCCGTCAGCGCCTCCAGCTCCTCACGGCTGCGGCTGCCCAGGAGCTTCTGCAGCAGCTTCAGCTTCCCGTCGCGGGCCGCGTTGTACACGGCCGTGCGCAGGTCCATGGCGCCGGGGGCCGCGTCCTGGCCATGGACCGGCGGCTCCGGCGCGGCCCCAGCGCGGCGCGGGGCGGGCGGGGGGCGGCGGGACCCCCCTGCCCTCAGCTCGGCGGGACCTTCACCGCCCGGGCCCGGCCGCCATCTCAGGCTGCGCCAAGGAACAAAATGGCGCCGCGCGGGGCTGGGGGCGCCGCGCGGGGGATGATGGGAAGTGTAGTCCCGAGAGCTGCGCTCCCACTACGGCCCCGCGCCGCGCGCACTCGGCTTCCCAGCAGGCAGCGCGGGAGGGGAGGAGCGGGCAGGGCGCGTCTCCCGGTAGCGCGGGGCACACTGGGAAATGTAGTTCTACCGCCCCAAGGGTGCCAGCGCTGGCAACGGGGCTGCGCTGGAGCCCGGACTACATTTCCCAGCGAGCGCCGCGCGGGCCGATCCATGAGGAGCGGGTGTCGTCCAAGTGTCTTTATAGTTCATGGCATGTGTGCGTTTAATGCCGGTTTTATTTATATTAAATTCCCTGATGCTCTTGAACCTCAAGACACAGCGGCTTACACAGCGTTAACCTGACGTGGTTTGATTGCAGCGGGTCATGTGTGTTCCATGGCATCAGAATATCCTGAGCTGGAACGGACCCTCAGGGATCATCCAGTGCGACAGATCTGATGGAGCGCTTTAAGGTGAAAAATTTCTGCTTTGTAGGAGGCAAAGCCTCGTCTTCAACAGCAAACACAGATTTGTTCCCTCCAATCCTCTCCACAGGACGTTATGTCCAGCTCCCTCCGTCCCTGAGTGACAATACCTGCCTGGAGCGAGGGAAAACACTCGAGCAATAAATAGCCCAGCTTAGATGAGCAAAGCTTTACTCACCAGAGCCTATTTTTAGGGCATAAATCGAGTTTAAGTGTCTCTAATCTTTATAAAGGGAACTGGCATGGGGTTTCTCCCGCTGTGTTTTATTTATAGCTGTTTTTCTCCTTTCCGGGAAAAACAAGATTAGTCTCATTATTTCCATTATTATTATTCTGTCTGTCACGATTATTATTCAGTCCATCCACCCGTTTTAGGTCTTGTCTGGAATTACTGTGGATTATCCCGCTAATGCCTGTTGCCTTCACGCCGAACATCACTTTTGTTGCTAAGAAACTGCTTCTGCATAACAGGCACTGCGAGCCCAGCCCTCACTTCAGCAGCTGCTGAGAAGTCACCAGGAGCAGCTGGTGCTCCTGGGAGCCAGAGCCGGAGTGTCCGTGGCAGAATTCCCACACGAGGTCTGGGTGTGCTCAGGGATTCCTCCCTGGGAGGGTGGGCAGGCCCTGGCACAGCTTTCCCAGAGAAGCTGTGGCTGCCCCATCCCTGGGAGTGTCCAAGGCCAGGTTGGAACGACCTGGGATAGTGGGAGGTGTCCCTGCCAATGGCAGGGGTCGGGACTGGATGAGCTTTAAGGTCCTTTCCAAACCCAATCCAAACCAAAGCATTCCATGATTCTGTGATTTGGTGACTTTGTGTTTGAGAAGAAAAGGAGCAAAGGTCTCTTTGAGCTCCTCCAGTGTGTCCGTGCTGTGCAAGGGCAGCTTCCTGCACATCGGGACAGGAGGAATCACAGAATCATTTAGGTTGGAAAAGCCCTCCAGGATCAAGTCCAACCATTGCCCCAGCACTGCCAAGCCCACCCATGTCCCCAAGTGTCACATACACAAAGCTTTTAAGTCCCTCCAGGGATGCTGACTCCACCACTGCCCTGGGCAGCCCCTTCCAGAGCTTAACAACCCTTTCAGCGAAGAAGTTTTCCCAATATCCAACCTAAACCTACCCTGGCACAACTTGAGGCCATTTCCTCTCATCCTGTCCCTCGTTCCCCGGGAGCAGAGCCCGACCCCTCCCCGGCTCTCCCTTCCTGTCAGGGAGTTGCAGAGAGCCAGAAGGTCCCTCCTGAGCCTCCTTTTCTCCAGGCTGAGCCCCCCCAGCTCCCTCAGCTGTTCTTCTGTGTGTGGTGGAATACCTGGGATTATTCCCTGTCCCCCTGGGGTGCAAATACACAACTCTGGGCACAAATTGTGTTTTCACCCTCTGTCCCCACTGGGAACATCCACGTGCAAACCCCCCAGCTTTGAGGCTGTTTGTGCTGCAGGTCAAGGCACAGACACGGTGACATTTCCTCTCCCCGCTGGCTCCTCGTGTTGCCATGGTGACCAGATGCACTCGCTCTTTTTATCTGAAGTATCTATTAACCAAAGCTTCCTATTAATTTCCCCTCCACAGAATCCATTAGGGATTCACCTGAACCACCACGAAGGCTTTTTAGGTCCCAAATCTACCTCAGAACCTGCCCCTCGTTCTGGGGTGGGCTCAGAGACATTGTGGCTTTAAAGTGCAGCTGATGGAAATGGGGTTTTTTCCCATCAATAAATTGCTTAGTAATGAGGGAATAAAGACCATGAGGGGAAGGGTCACAACAGCCTCTCCCTGCAGATCTGTGAATATGGAATGTACTGGAGACCTCAGATCCTTGCTCCCAGCCCAGGGGTACCTGGATAACTCTGTCTGAGGTGTCAAAGAGAGCTGGAGGTGGGGATGGATGGGCTGCACCTGCATCACCCTCAAAGGTCTGGGGTGGGATTTTGACTGTGGCAGAAACCAGAGTCACTTTGTCACCTTGGTTCTCCTGCATCCTTTGGCTTCTCTTGGCAAGGTCAGCACCGAAAGTGTCCCAAACCAGGGGGATGGAGACATCACACAGAACCAGAATCATGGAATCACAGAATGGATTGCATTGGAAGGGCCTTAAAGCCCATCCAGTTCCATCCCCTGCCATGGGAAGGGACACCTTCCACTAGCCCAGGTTGCTCCAGCCTGGCCTTGGATCCCAGGGATCCAGGGGTAGCCACAGCTTCTCTGGGAAAGCTGTGCCAGGGCCTGCCCACCCTCACAGCCAGCAATTCCTTCCCAATATCCCATCTAGCCCTGCCCTCTGGCAGTGGGAAGCCATTCCCTGTGTCCTGTCCCTCCATGCCTTGTCCCCAGTCCCTCTCCAGCTCTCCTGGAGCCCCTTCAGGCCCTGGAAGGGGCTCTCAGGTCTCCCTGGATCCTTCCCTTCTCCAGGTGAACCCCCCCAGCTCTCCCAGCCTGTGTCCCAAAGCTGGAAGGTGTCTCCTGAACCAGATCAGCATCAGTTGTGCAGTTCCCACTCCCACTGACACAACAACTGGGAATAAAGGGTCAACAACACCCATCTGAGAGTGTCCCAAAGCCACCACGTCCCTCCCACCCAGCCCACGGTCCCCCCAGGGACCCCAAAGGGTTTGTGGGGTAGCACACACACAGCCCCAGCCAGAGCTCTGGGAATAGAGAGGGGAGTTAAATACCCAGGGGAGGAAGAGCAGGTAAAAAACGAGCCGTTTTGACAGGGCTGCCACGTTGTGTGGCAGGAGGGTTAATTTTTTTTGAAGCTGCCATTTCATATTCCCTTTCAGACAAGCTGAATTACACGGTGCTGGCTGCTCCGGGAGTAGCATAATTTTCCTCACGGAAATAATGACAGGGTACTTAAGAAGCAAGTGAATGGATGGCTGAAGTGCTGGGCAGAGACTTCTGAAATCCAGGCTGAGCCCTCACCTTTGCTAGAGCCTCCTTTGGTGACCTTGGGCCAGTCACTTAATCTTCCTGTGTCTCAATTCCCTGCCAATAAAGTGGCAATAATAACTGTTCTTGCTCTGGCTGGCTTATTTGGGCTGCAGACTCGGAATTTACAGCTTGTGTTTTCTCTTCTTTGAGGGCAAGTGAAGCCAAAGAGCTTCAAGCCGTGCTGAGGAGTCTGGGACACCACAAAATGCAGCCTGGATAATAATAGAAGGCTGGGATATAGGATTGGGAACGTTCTCACACAAGAACTCCTAAATCCATTGTTCCCCATCTCTTCCCCTCAAAACGTGGAGGAGTTTAGAACTGTGCTTAGAGTTCCAAAAGCACCGGAATAATTTAGGAACAGAGGCCAGGCCGATTTACTGAGTCCCTGAGCTACTTCTGAAAGGGGAGTGGGTAATTTAGACACCTGCAGGATTTCCTGCGAGGTCTCTGTGCTCAGTCTGTGGCTGCAGCAGCTCCTTGGGTTCTTTCAGTCTAACCTGAGGTTTGCAGGCAGATGTGTACCCAGGTTTTATCCACCTCTTCAGCTTTTAGGGGCCTGGGTGATTTCCAGAAGCCAGGGGAAGATGGTCCCTCGCTACCAGAGCCAATGAAGATGAGATTTTCTCTCCAGTCGAGCAATTTGCTGTACAAAGGGAACAATTCTAAAAATAGGGAGAAATGGCACCGTGACATTAAGAGGAACGATGACCCAATCCCCAACTTGCTGCAGGGGCTTTTGTCCTATAACTGCCTTCCCCATTAGGGCTGTGATGACATTATTTGCTGTGGTTATGTGGGGCACGAGGCCACGGCTACCTGGAAGGGAGGATTTTGATCAGACTGCAGAGGATGAACATGCCAGACAGGCTTGTTGGGGAACACTAAATCAGTGGAGTTTCATTTACATCAGACGCCAGCCCAGCCATTCCAGCATTAATGGCTGCACTGCTGCCCTCAGAATTTTGTCTGGATTTAATCTGTCAGTGGGGGAGTAAAAGGGAGGGGGAGAGTGAGTTGTTCTGGCTTATGCAATGTGGGTCTTTTCTTTCAGGTACCATCAAAGCACAGTGATTTGTACTGGTTTAAAATTCTTCTGGCAATAGATTTGTGGCTGCCCCATCCCTGGGAGTGTCCAAAGCCAGGCTGGAGCAACCTGGGATAGTGGAAAGTGTCCCTGCCCATGGCAGGGGGTGGGACTGGATGGGCTTTAAGGTCTCTCCCAACCCAAACCATTCTGGGATTCTATGATTCCTAAATCACATATTCCACAGTACCAATGACGTGGGCAGTGCTGAACATATCCTGGGTTGGTTCAGAAAAGAAAGAGAAAAAGAAAGTGTTCAACAGCACCAACAACTCAAATTATTGAAGACATTTCAGTACTTTTACCACTGGCCTCGGCAGGATTCAGGAGTTTCATTTTCACACCTGGATACCTTTGAGAATAGAGGCTCTGAGTGGTGTTGAAAATGTGTTCTTTTTATATTTTAAAGCCCTGTTGGAAGCAAAGGGCTCCACTCTCCAAACAACCCCTGCCAGGCATCGAGGTGCCAGCAGTGCCCGAGTGCCCGGCAGGGCCCTGCCCCTGCACTGCTGTGTCTGGGGGGGCTTTGAGGGAGGCACTTCCCTTCCTGACAGCTGATCTCCACGAGAAGCTGTGTTGAAGGGAGGCAGGGGAGTGCCAGCTTTGGGGGGCTGCAGGATGAGCCCCAGGATGAGTTGGATCTCCTCGGATGCCTCTCCCTTTGCTTCTCTCAGAGCCCAGGGGGGCAGAACAAGGCACAGCATGACCTCCAAAGCACTTCCAGCCACGGCCAGCTCTCAGTTCCAGGGCTCTCAGGGTCTCTGGGGCCGTGGCAGCCTGGGCTGTATGGCAGGCTATGATTTGTTGTCACCTTTATAAACACAACAACAAAATCACTAGTCTTCCACACAGAGCCAGGCCAGCAGAGCAGCATTCCCTCCTCAGGGACGTCCTCCCGCTCGTCTTCTCCTGCTGTCCTTCCTCGGTTTTCTCATCCTTTAATTCTTGGTCTTGTCTCTCCTTTCAGGGATGGATGCTGCTCTTTGCAGAGTTCCTCATGAGACCGTGTCAGACCTCCCTGCAATCATCTCTCCAATTTGTGGCTGTTCCCGTGAGTTTCTGCTCCATTTTCTCACTCCCGGAGACTCTACAGGGAGATCAGGGCTCAGCAGGGGCTCCTCTTTCCTTACCCTGTGATAAACTTCTCCAGGAGTGCTCTGGCAACCTGTCTGTCTCCCAGTTAGATTTTCAGTCTGACTAAAATAAGCAAATGCAATGTATACTGGGGAATGCTGGAGAAAAGGACTCAGCAAAGAAAAAGATAATGATGGTGCTGAGTTTCCTGGAATCCCACTGAGAGGCTGATTTAAGCAAGAAAAACAAACCCTTTTTGCTGTTTCCTTTCTCTGCATTTGTTGATGAGCAGTCTTTAGTTCACCCCCAGGTCCAGCTTTGCTTCCACTCCCCAGCTTTTCTCTGTTAATACCTCACATATGGCACGGATAAGGTGTGAAAGGACAATGCTGGCTCACATCCATGGAAAGGATCTGACTTTATTCCCCGTCTGAGTGAGGCTTACTTACCTCAGCCACTGAAACCAGGCAGGGAACAGCATCCTTCCCATCTTCACCGAGCCTGTTAGATGTGCTTTTGTAAGCAGATGGCAATAAAAATGAAAAAAAAAGAAAAAGGAAAGAAACAAAAACTATTCCTCAGGATCTGCTGCTCCTTTCATGGGAGGAGAAAGTGTGGAGCAACAGGAGAGGGTTTGCTGCTGCTGACAGGGATTGTGCCCTGTGTGAGCTCAGAGGGAGCAGCCCCATCCCTCCCTTCCTCCCTCCCTCCCTTTTTTTTTAACATATGTGCTTTCTATGGACACTTTAATCAAACTCCAGATGGGTTGTTTCAGTCAGGGGATTTGTGCAGCTCTGGAGATAAGAGTCCTTTGTGCTGGCCTAGGTAGCCAGAGTGTTTGTGATAGCTGGAGCTGATACCAGGAGATGTCCAGGTGGTCTTATTTAACAGGGAGCATTTAGTGATACCACCATTGTCCAGGAAATCAGATAAAACCGGGTCCAGGTGTTACCCAACACCGTGTTTGTGTAAGGACGGTGCCAACTGCTGCCTGCACTGAGCCACAGAGCAGCACTGCAGAGGGGGGTGTTCTTGTACAGCACCTCTGTCACCCCCAAACTGCCCTGGGTGCACCACTGAAAGGGAAAAATTTAGCCAGGAGTTGGACTTGGATGGGTCCCTTCCAGGTCAGGATATTCTGTGATCCTGAGCTGACTGTCAAGTGGAACAGCACTGAGCCTCACACTGAAGAGAAGGTCACTCTGACACCTGCCTGGCCTTGGCTGTCCTAAACTGAAGAAACCAGCACTTATTTTCCTCTCTGCCCTCCCACGGAGAGGTCTCTAATGAAAACATTTAGGGAGTGAGACAATTTAGAAATAAAAATTCAGGACAATTCACTCTTCTGCCCATGATAATTAGAAGACAGGAGGAATTGTACAGATGGATGAACTTGAGAGAGGAGACAGGTTGGGAAGTGCTAACCTGGACTGTAATTTCAGGTGACAAGGACACTTTTCAGTCCTTGTTCTGGAATGGCACTGCCTGGCACAGTGACACACCAGCTCCAGGTAGGGATTTACCACAAATCATTGCTAGAAAAATCACGTAAAAATCAAGACAAAAGAAGTACGAGCAAGGCCTGAGCTCTTCTGCTGCTTTTACACACAACCATTCCCTCTTCAGAGCAGGAAACATAAATTGCAGGCTCAGAGTCGTGCAAGACTTTTGTCTAGACTCCAGCTCATGGGATCTGTCTCAGTGGGGCCGTATTTCTCAATGTGATATTTTTCAGGGCACCACTGCTTTGTCCCAGAGATCTCAGGGCCGTGGAAGCTCGTGGCTCCTCGTGCCAGTGGCAGCTGGCAGGCTGCTGGAGCTCCTTGGTAATTGTTTGTATGGCTGGGAGCTAAACTTAGGCTGCAGAACACGGGGGGGAAAAAAAGCCTGGTTAGAGAAGGAGTGGGGACTGTGGGCCCCCAGCTGTGTCAGAACAGGCTCATCACGGAGAGATCCCCAGCTGCACTGCCAGGCTGTAAATTAAACAAACAGTATTTCCTCTGGCCCAGACCACAGGGATGGCAGAGAGAACAATGTGGCCTTATTGCTGTTATTTCCTTTGGTTTCAATCTCTGTCCTCTGCCCCCACCTCCTCCCCAGACCCGTGGTGCCCACTTTACCCGATTTGCCATTTATTACACTGCTTTAAAGAGAGGCAGGGGGAAAAAGGCTCAGTGCAAATTATATTTTGAGCTGTTGTGCTTTGCCTCTTTGGTGGATAATAAATCTCTCTGGCAATGCTCCTCTGTATAGGATTTGTCATTAAATGCAATTAAACAAACCCTGCAGGTGTCCATGATCAGGCCTGCAGCAGCCCATTCACAACTGCAATGTTATTATCAGCCTGACAACAAAACACCAGATATTTCCTGAGCTCCTCTGATCGATGAGCTCGCCTGACTTGGAACTGGAGGGAGGAGAAAAGGGGGACCAGAGCGCTTCAAATGCTCTTTAGACTTATTGATGGAAAAGTCAAAAAGCTGCTCAGCAATCAGAGGGAAGGTGGAGAGGGAGAAAGGCAGAGAGACGGGAGAGCTGAGAGGGAAAAATGAGAGAGGAGTGTTTGGGAGTGAAAGGGTAGAAATGTGTCAAGATATCACATGGCACCCACCTACCCAATGAGTGGTTAATGCACAAGGCTAGGATTTAGCAGACAAGGAGGGTATTTTAGGGGTGATTCTTTGGCAGGTGGGCTTTTAGTGTGAAGTGAGTCATGCAGGCTCCCTCTGCAGTCAGCACAAATGTTCCTTTCACCCCAAGGACTGGCAGGTTGACCTGCTGTCCAGGGATGTTTGTCAGTCTTCATAAATTGTAGCCAAATGGTTGGATCAGACACCCAGCTAATTGCAAATCCCACCTGGGGCAGCCAAAGGAATCGGCTTTTTCAAGGCCGGGTTGGACTTGGAGCAACCTGGTCTAGTGGAAGGTGGAAGTGTCTAGGGAGGTGAAACAAAAGGAGCTTTAAGGTCCTTTCCAAACCAAACCATCCTGGGATTCTGTGATTGATTCTCTGGGTGTGTCCCTGCCCATCTCCTTTCACACAGAGACGTGTCCTGGCACAGCCTCGGGAAGCGCACGCTCCAGAGGTGCTGCTGACAGGATTTGTCCAAAGCGGATGCAACAGCATTCACACCTGGGTTGTTGTGTGCCCTGACAATCGGGAACAGGGAAAAAGCTCCTGTGGTTTCTGTCAGCCATCCCAGGCAGCCTGTGGAGTGTGAAGGTCAGGGACTCACAGGGGACCGCCTGCCACCGAATCCAGCGAGAGAGAAACATTTGCCAACACCGGTCGAATTCTTCTGCCTGACTCGTTTGCTCAACTCAGCCTCGGGGTGCTCTTGGGATGAACCTCATTCCTCTCCTGCTCCCACCCCAGGAATCCTGGTTTAGCCCAGCTGACTGCTGGGGCACACACGGAATTGCAGTGACAAGGGACAAGCTGCAAAGTGTCACCTCACTGGCCACAGCAGTGGGGGTGGTCCTTGGGTCAGTGGGGTCTGCAAGGACATGGAAAAATCCACAGCTACCAGTATTGCTTATCATGGAACCCCAGAATGGTTTGGGTTGGGAGGGAACTTAGAGATCATCCAGTGCCACCCCCTGCCACAGGCAGGGACACCTTCCAGGTTGCTCCAACCTGGCCTTGGACACTTCCAGGGATGGGGCAGCCACAGCCTCTCTGGGCAACCTGTGCCAGGGCCTCCCCACCCTCCCAGGGAGGAATTCCTTCCCCATATCCCCTCTCTCCCTGCCCTCTGGCAGTGGGAAGCCATTCCCCTTGTCCTGTCCCTCCAGGCCCTCATAAAAATCCATGAACAAAAACGTATAAATAAATCCATTTTGCTTGGCTTCCCTGCAGACCTTGGGGACGTCTGAGGTGCCGCTGGCTCAGAACATTTGGGAGCCACACATGTCGGAATCCCAGCACCTGTGGAACGTGGCATTGCCCCACTCCAGCCCCTTCCACCTCCCTCTGCTCTCAGCCACAAATCCAGAAAGACCTCTGCTTCCCTGCCCTGGATGCTGCAGGGTTTGAGGTGGGGGCTGGGGCTGTCCCAGAGGATGTGCTCTCTCCCAGGGCAGAGGGACAAGCGCTGGCACATCCCTGTGCCCGCCGAGGAGCTGGGGGGCTGCTAATGAGCATCCCTGGGATGGGTCTGCAGCCACTGGTGTGAATGAGTTGGGGCTGCTCTGAGTCCTCAAGGACTTTGGAGGAACTCTGCTGATTCACACCACGAGAGCTGGGGCTGCTGGGGAAAACCCCCTGGAGTTTCCATCAGCGGGCGTGAGAGCGGGGAGGGAGCCTGGTGAGAGCTGAGGGGGGCACAGGGAGCAAATCTAGGGCAGGGTGGAAATGCACATCGGCTTGGATTGACTTCAGAAAAACAACAAACACTTTTTTTTTTCTCCTCCCTTCTTTCCACCTCCCTTCCTCCCCACCTCCAGCAGCTCCTCTCCCCGTGCTGCTCATCTCCCTTTGTGCTCCTCTTACCCGCGCTCTCCTCTCTAAACAGGTGCAGTTGCCACTCAATAGACTTTAATTACCACTTCAAGGGCTCTCACCGGGGTCTGCAGGAGGGTGGAGATGAATTTTCCCGAGGATTATGTGTGTCTGAGTTCTCTTCAGTCAGATGGCAATATTGCTGTCAGCCTGGATCCTTCGAGAGATCTGTTCTTCATGTTCTCTCTGCTTGTGTTAACAAAAAGAGAAACTGCTGCTGAAGTTAAAAAAAAAACCCACCCAGCCATTAGCTGGATTAATTAGCAGGACAGCAAACAGGGCTGGAGGAAAATATTGCAGAAAATTTAAAACCCAAGGGTCTCAGCTGGGCTTCTAAACCACTATTTCTGCTTGCAAGTCAAGAAGTGGAGAGCTCAGCATCTCCCAAGATTTCTCTGGGAGACTGGGCTCTGAAAATACAAGTTGTTTTTAACCACTTTACCTTCTTTTTTTTTTTTTTTTTGCTCTTCCCATCA